ATGAATCGGCGACGGTATTGTATTTATGAACGGATGCGTACGTGTCATTTTGGGCACACAGTGCACTGTGCCTGGGCAGCATTCTCCTCCTTTGCGGAAGCAAAGTCTTTGTGTGAATCTGCTCTTCTTCCTGCTGGGCTTCGAGCTTTACGGCGCATGGGTATTTTATCTCCATTTTTGGCGTCGTGCCTGTCTTGCTGTCGGGATGCTTTTGCCGTGCGTGTGTGTGGCCAATCCCCCGGTATTTCCCGCCTGTTTCTCGCAGGAAGGGCGCTGAAGGAGTGCTGCGATCTTTGGCGCCTGCTGCAGCTCGGTTTTGGTACGCTCGTGGGCCCTCATTTGGGGTAGTAGTCCTGCCTTTGTTTGGTCCTTGAGTCCACAGGAAACGCATTGGAACGCGGTGGGCGCAGCCAGACCGTCATATTCCCGGGGACGCCTCCTATTTGTCGGGGACAGCCCTGATTGCGGAAGTGTTGATGATGAAAACCGAGTCCGGCTTGTTGGTTGTACGACGCCGAGCAGAGGAATGGCTTCGGCCTGGGCCGTGCATTCTGTGGCGGAGGTGCGGTCGGTGTGCCGTCTCTCGCTCTCGTCCACACCAAAGTGCTGGGCGGTGGTTCCAATGGGATTCCTGGCGGTTTCGGCTCACCGCGAAAGTCGAATTCCAGCAGCACATGAGAGGGCGCGTAATGCCACAGGCGTTAACCATGTGCGTCACAAAACTAGTGCGGCAACTGCGGTGCTTGCCGCACACCGGGCAGTCTGCCGGGCATCGGATCGTGGCGGGGTGGGGTCAGCGGGAGGAGGAGGCGTTTCCGTGCGAAGCCCTTTGCGTGTCTGCTGTGGGAAATAAGGGCCGCACCAACGGCATGTGCTCGGGATGGCGGGTTGCAGTGGTCGTGGCTGCCATAAGTATTTCTGCGGAACTCCCGGTGAGGAGGCGGGTCAGTGCGGCCTCTTCCCCGCGAGTGAGGGTGGAATCCGCGCACGTGGGTCCCAGTCGCATGATACAGTGGAGCGGTTAGCTTCGGCCCTGAGCTGTCGGGCACGAATAATACGTTCGGCCAATGCAACGATGCCGGTGCTCCATGTGCCTGTGAGCTGTGCGAGGTCGGAAGCCTCCTTGAATTATGCATCACATGCTTCGTTCTTGAGTACGCCGCAGTGGCCCAAATATAGGCTGCATTTGCATGAGCGCTCATAGGCGCTGCAGGCGGAGCAGGAGGGTCCAGAGTCAATGAAGTGTCGGGTC